CCTCTTTCCCACAAAAATCTTTACCTTAATGATTGAAATTAAAAAAGAGAAATTGCAGAGATCTATCTTTTCCTTAAATGATTAAAAAAAATTCAAATCACTTTCCTAAAATACAATTTTTTTTAGCCTTTCAATTCTTTTAATTTTGGGTTTTCCTCTTTCCTTTCTAGTTTCTCATTTTATTCCCAAGAAAATATCTTAAGATGAAATTGTGGCCTGATTAATAATTATCAATTAAAATTTGTGACACGTGGCATCATACAAAAAATCAAAATTAGTTTTTGATGTCTTTTAAACTTTCGCCCAGAAATATGCAATTACAAACTCAAAACAAAAATTTTCGTGGAAATCGAATTTTCTATTGGGAAGGATGATAGAGAGAAGAAAGAGAAAAAGAAATAAAAGAAAGTTCCTTTCTAGTTTCTCATTTTATTCCCAAGAAAATATCTTAAGATGAAATTGTGACCTGATTAATAATTATCAATTGAAATTTGTGACACGTGGCATCATACAAAAAATCAAAATTAGTTTTTGATATCTTTTAAACCTTCGCCCAGAAATATGCAATTACAAACTCAAAACAAAAATTTTCGTGGAAATCGAATTTTCTATTGGGAAGGATGATAGAGAGAAGAAAGAGAAAAAGAAATAAAAGAAAGGAAAATAATTTCATCTTATGATATTTTCTTGAGAATAAAATGAGAAACTAGAAAGGAAAGAGGAAAACCCAAAATTAAAAGAATTGAAAGGCTAAAAAAATTGTATTTTAGGAAAGTGGTTTGAATATTTTTTTGATCATTTAAGAAGAAAATAGATCTCCGTAATTCCTCTTTTTTAATTTCAATCATTAAGGTGAAGATTTTTGTGGGAAAGAGGAAAAATTAAATAAAGAAGAAAGAGAAAAAGAAATAAAAGAAAGGAAAACAAGGTAAATGAAAAGTCAAAATAATGCAAGGGCAATTTTGTCCTAAAGGGGGTTAAGTGAGCAAAATTAAAGGTTAGGGGGTAAACTGAGAAATTGGGTATTCTTTAAGGGGATAAAATGTGATTAACCCAATACGTTATTATTTTAGTTAATTTGTTCATCCCACTAATGTTCACAGAGTTCATCTTTTACTTCTTTTTATCTTCAAGTTTTCGAAGCTTGACCTTATTTTGGTTCCTGATCAGCTTTGTCGAGTTTTCATATTTCCTTCCTCAAAAACAAAAACAAAAACAAAAAATTCCTATTTCCATTTTGGAAATCTTCAATTTCGTTCAATATATTCTTCTGTTTCTCGAAAAACAAATAATTTATATGAATTCTTCATTTCAGTCTGATGGAGGGACAGTTAGCTAAAGACAAAAGACCTTTTAACAATTGATTTGATAGGAAGCTCTAATAAGACGAAATTGGGTGCGCTCCTTTCATTTTATCTTAGGTTGTGTTTTGATTGCATTTTCCGTGATTTTTCGTGAAAAAATTACTGTAGCGATTTGATGTATGTGAGGGAAAAAGGTAATAGGAAAATGTGATCGCGGAAAACGACGTAATTTTTCCACGAAAACTGACAGTCCAAACAAGGCCTTAGTTTCTTCCAATGAAGTCGTCCTTAAAATCCAGCTTAATTAATAAAAATATTAACCAGATCTTGATTTGACTCTCAAAATTAGAATCTCACTTTCACTTAAAGTTTATAGTTTTCTTATATCGATGTTCAGAGTCTCTCATGAATATCTTGATTTAATTTTAATAATTGAATTTCAAAATTTTGAAATTCAGAGTGTCTCTTAAACTATTTTCTCTTCTCCTTAATTTGCAAGGTTTAGAATTTTCTTTGAACCGAACTTTAGATTCTCCCTTTCACTTAAGGTTTAGAATTTTCTCGTATCGATGTTTAGAGTTCCTCATCAATCATTTTTTCCTTCCCTCTAGCAAGATTTTGAGTTTCGAATAAACCCAAAAAAAAAAAAATAATAAGTGAAGCCACATTTGAGTGGATTTGGAATTTATCAAAATAACCATATCTAACATCCAATTGTTATATACAACTCGAAAGTAACAAGTACAAGCAAGGTTGACGGTAAAGACAAGGCCAGAGTACAAGTTCAAGGCTTTTCTGCTCTCAATCACACTACTGTGACAGATAAACTCAGGAGATCTCATTAGAGAAGATACATCAGAGTCCAGGCAGTTTGGAGTTAATGATCAATTATTAACACTTGTTCCATTAATCCATTTCCCTTTTCCCCATCTTAGTACTAGTTCAACCTGAACCATCTCATTAGTTCCTATCCACTTCCTTTCTTCTTTCCTTCCATGTACTTCAACAAATCCAATACTGAGGTGCACAACTTGAAAAATCTAAATATTGCGAGTCCAATCCTTTCTTCGTTACCTTTTCTTTTTCACTCTTTTTTTTTTCAAAAAAGAAAAAAAAAGTTCGGGCCCGTCAAACCCACAACAACAAGCAGTCTCCATAGCAGAAAAGATCCACTTTATACTACAATAAAGGGATAATATCAGAAACCCCCCTTGAAGTTTCTCTTAATATCACTTGGCACCCTTGAGGTTTTAGAAATATCACTTACCTCCCCTAATAATTATTAAAAAAACTATATTAACCCTCACTTGGCACATAATTCACAACATATCAAATAAATAGAGCTGAAAATTCAAAAAAAAAAAAAAAAGGAAACAAAAAGTCTCTTTCTTGTTCTTCCATTTTCCCTATCATTCTCTCTTACTCATATTTTTTGAATGACTATGCAATATTTTATTTGTAAATTATAATAAACTAAATTTTGTTTATCTTTTACTTTTTTGTAATTGTGATAAAGTGGGGTATGATTTATTTGCTTATTTTAAGTTAATTTTTTTATAATGATTGGTATAGTTTAATGGTTTGAACAAGGGTTGAGAAGATGTTGGGAAAAAATAGAAATTCATAAGAAATCAATTTTGAGCATATATAATAAAAAAATTGATGTAAGCGTATTTCTTTTCAAATATATTTTTTATTTTTCAAATATATATTTTTTTTGGAGTATAGCGTTGTGATATGGTAGTAGTACTACAAGAGATTGTTTTTGAGGTGTTAGTTTTCTTGAAATGAACAAAGTGATTTAGAAATATTTTTATTTAGCAAGTGAAAGGATAGTTTAGGGTTTTTAAAAATTTTGTTATACAAATAACAAAAGTAAGGGAGGTAAGTGATTTTTTAAAACCTTAGGGGTGTTAGGTGATATTAAGAGAAATTTTAGGAGAGGTTTCTGATATTATGCCAAAAAAGAATGTATTAAGTCAAATGGAGATCTCTGTCTCGTTCTCCACTGTCAGTAGTAAAAGTGTCTCTGTCTCGGTCATACGCCCATCTCATCTCATCTCATCTCAAACTTTAAACTTTACGTGTGCAAATAAAATTCATACCAACAATGATCAAAAAGCTCTTTAATGGTTATGGTGCTCATAATTTACTGCCAATCAATAGCATGGCATGGTAGAAAGACTAGATTCAGTTAATGGAATCTCAATCCATTTTGGAAGTTGTTTCATGCTAATAATCCTCTAAAGTAAAGTTTAGTCATCCCCAAGCACAAGAAAAGAATCGGGAGGTGAAGCCCATAGACAAGTGGATTTAATAAGTATGGAAGCGTTTAGTAGATGTCAAATCGAATATGAGCACATACCATACTTAGCACACTAATAAGAGGAGACTATCGGCACTGCATTTTACCATGTACAGCATTTTCGACGTCATATATGGAACGCATAAAAATTTTATTCCATGATAGATGGCCTTGATTTTAAGCCATCCATTAATTATGCAAATAGAAGTTGGTGTGCCCTACCATACGATTATAAATTATAATCTCTTCAAGTGAATAAGGAAGGTTACATGGGACTTTTGAGTAGTGTTCATAACCGTAAAAGGGGAGTGACTAGATTTACTTTGTGGAGTTGGCAAGAGTCTAAAACTGTTATCAATTCATAGACTTGATTAATCAAGGAACTCTAATTTGTTTGATAAATTATTTGAATGAGCAACCTGTCAAAAGTAATTCCTTGAAGGAGAAAAACTCATCAACTTATGATTAACAAGAATGATGTAGTATGGTAATTCACGTCAAAAAAAATTGAGTTTTTATGTCACAAAAAATTCGACTTTGATCTTGAATTCAAGTTTCCTTCAAAACTTCTCTTTATTCCTTCAAGAGAACAAAGTGAATCATGGCTATTTACACCCAAAAAAGAAAAAAAAAGAAAAAAAGAAAAGGTCGTAAAAAGTCTATCATGATTAACAATTCTAGTTATTCCTTTCCACATCCTTTCTCAGTTTGTTGCATGCACTGCAATAAATCCAATCATCAGGTGCAGAATTGTAAAGATGTATGTATTGACACTCCAATTCTATGTTCTCCATTTTCTTTAAAAAAATGTTTCAGTGCCATCAATCCAATAATTGGCTTTAGACTCTAAACAGGAAAGATGCACGGGACTAGGGTTGCATGCTTTATGATTTTCATTTTCCAGATAGGATGACATAGTTTACTGTTGAACTTTCAAGATCAAGACTTTGCCTAAAAGTATCCTAGGCTTGTCTGCTCTCAATACTACTACTGTGACAGAGAAACTCAGGGAGGATAGTTGCTTTATGGACTTGGATATATCAGGTTGCTCTTAGTGGTGCAAGATGTTACAATGACTCATTAATCAATCGGGCATTGGTTAAAACTCATATTTAATCACAATTTCAGGCGGTGTATTATTGGTTTGTCTGTGAGGATCCATTTTGGTGTCATTCAAACCCACAACAAGCAGGCTTCATAGCAGAAAAGATCCACTTTATAATATAATACTAGGTTTGGCTTCCCACGCAAGGCGTGGGAGCTTTAGACCTGTTAGTAAGTTTCCCCGCCATGCAAAAGTAGTATATATTAGTTGATAAGAACAGCTAAGTATTGATAGAAAAGATGCTTAGTTAGCATGCAAAAGCAATATACATTAGTTGATAAGAGTAGCATGCAAAAGCAATGTCTTGATACGATGCTATAATTCAAAAGGATAAAGTCATTGGAGTATCGTACAAGAATTGTTTGGTAGTCGTTCAAAAGAAAGAGCCAAGTGTAGCATTTACATATACAGCAGCATGGCTGATTCAAAATTTATTGCTGAAGCCACTGCAGTGCTACATAAAAGTTGTTTGGCAGGAACAGCAAAGCATCCTACTTACACGTACAAAAAAATATGGCGTAAGCCATTGCAGCAATCTTTTCCTCTAATGTTCAACATCAATAGCAGCCGTTTTGATAAAGCCATTCCAACAATAATATATGCTGCTGGCAAGGAGTCAAAGAATGCAAAAATGGAAGGGTCACTAAGCTGGTAGTGGAGAGGCTAAATTTAGCAGTTTTGATAGCCGCGGTTCCAGCCTCATCATATACCAAAGTTTCAGAATGAACTTAGATGCCTTCTCAAAAATGGTTTTACACAATTAAAGAGAGACAGATGATGCCTGGCTGGTATCCTTTCCAAGCCAGAAATGTATATCGGATAAATATGCTGCTTCCTTGGCAATTGATGTCTAAAAGTGTAAATGAACAATACACGATCGATATTAGTTTTTATCAGTTTATTGTATCCAAACTTAAAACAGGATAAAAAATTTAAGCTCTTCCTTCAGTCATAAACACTCAATTCGTAAAAATGAGGCCCAAAAATAAGATACAAAGGAAGGAATATTTGGAAGGCATACGCACCTGCAAGATAGTGTATGAATCACCCGAGTAGAATTTATGATGATCAGATTTTGGCATAGGAACTGGTTGGAAGTTTTCAATTCTCCAAATCTCTGTCCCTCTATAGCGAAAGTTAAGTTCAACCAAAAAACGGTATGGTCAACATAAGAAGATATTTAGCAAAAAAGGAATCAGTAAAGAGAAATATACAAAATCTATGAGCGTGTTCGGATTGAAGATTATTTGGAAAGGTTTTTCATGTTAGTATAGTAGCAATAAATAGAGTAACAGATATTGAAAGACCAATATAATCATCCACTGCAGTCTTTCAATAAGGATACACTCTCCGACCAGCTCTCTGAAATGCAGGTTCTAAAGCTTTGCCAGAGGTAGACATCTTGTCAAATGCTTCTTGCAGCCAATTCTTCCAAGAAAATTGTGAACAGGACTTTTAAAGCCTACAGGTCCAGTAGTCTTCAAACTCTGAATAATGACTACACAAAACAAACAGCAACAGACAGGCTTAGGAAGAACAGAAAACAATATCAAGTCAAAAGTCAAGTTCTATATTAAACGATGCTAAGTATAAATCAAAAATTACTTTAGACAAATAGCATCCACTGTCAAGAACATGAAAATGTTGTAAATTTGGTGACTCAAGAAACTAAACTCATTCCAAAAATGCAAAAAGAAAACAAATTGGAACTTAGATGTCACAGATGTTCTAATCTTCAACAAGAAGCTAGATGTTTTTGTCAGTACCTTCAACAAACAAATCATTCTTTGCAATGATATAATTCTAGATCACTAAGCCATTTTGTAGAATAACAGGCTAACAAATCTGTAGTGTAACTTGCTACCTTCAAATGAACTTAGAAACTACGTGGAACCAGTTATGCTTCTACCCATATCATGCACAACTCGCTTGTTTTACGTCTTTCATTTAATAGCAGCAGACTCAAACTGGACACACAAGTGAGTGGCATCTCATCAATCCGATCATAGTCAATGAAGAGTTGGGCTGCAAATTCAGAAGACATGCAGCTGAAATGGTCACCAATAGGTCCCCTTATTGCACTTAATACTGTGCATCCTTTTTGCAAGATGTGATGCATTAAATTCAAAAGGAAATACCAATATAGTTTCAGTATCAAATGAAATCATCTGATGCACGCAGTGCAATAAACTCTAAAAACACAAATGTAGCAAAAAGCTGCTTTCCTCTTTCTTTTTTTTTTTGATGAGTAGAGCAAAACTCACCTCAGTTTTTAAATGCTCGACTCCCAATAAGAGACTAATGGTTTGGCAAAGTACATTATGTAAGCTAGCTCGATATAATGGCCTAGAGGATAACAATAATGTAATTGATCATTGCTTGAGATTTTCATTGTAGTGAACCAAGATTTAAAGGCTAATACTGCAAGTGCTGGACATTGTTTACACAAGCTGCATCTTTCTTCCTTACCCACTCTTTTTATGATTCTTGCCCCTGTACTTTTTTCCACTTTTTCTGCATTTATTGTGTTTTTCCCTGCTTTTTTTTTCCTTTATTCTGTTTTATGAATTTTATGATAGTCTCCCTGCATTTATGAATTTTCTATGTTTTGCAAGTTCATGAAATCAGTAGAATAAACCTGCTACTCTTAAGATTTTGAAAAAACAATTAAGTGCATGAGTTACGTAGGTTTGACATACAAATGGAAGAACATGCATCAGATGCATGAACAGTAATGCAAACTTAAACAGGACAACAAGATATGAAGATGAATCATACAGACGCAATTATGTATTTGTTTGAAAAGAAATACTCATGAAACGAATGAATAATAAAATTTAATTTGGTTATTTAGTAAATAATTGCATTTTTTCTTATAACTTGATAAGTAACTTGTCAATGAAATGTTTGATGCTGCATTAACTTGGTAGCTCAATAAAATAACTTTACAAAAAAATTCCCTATAAAGAAACAAAAAAAAAGAGAGAGAAATAAAAGTTGAAGTTAGGAGAATCTTGAGACTCCAACAAACCGGACCAAATTGGAATCCACTTCTTTTGGAGGCTTGTCTAAGATGACATGCCACAGGATAGCTTCAAAATCTTTAGAGTTAATTAATAAGAAGCTTCAAAGTACACTTACATGTAATGTGTCAGAAACACCACTATCATTATTCATCATTTGAGCGAGTTTGAGCACTATACTCTTCAAATAAACGTGCAGCACCTCTCTTACAAGCAAACATCAGAGATTACGTTGCATTTCTGAGTGAAACACTATGAAGAAAATTTGGGTCTGCATAGCATGTAAACATGCATTAGAAGAGCTAATTCGCAGTGCAAATGTACAAGACATTTGCCGCAGAATAATGAGTTAATGCTGCTATCTCAAAATAGAGTGCATAATTTTGTCAGGCACTAATGTTTCTCAATCAATAGAACAATACAGAAAAAAATTTTAGAAGGGAGAAAAAGTCAAACTTCATCTTATCTTAACCATTTTTACTTAGACAGACAGCTACGAAGTCATTAAGGTGGCCATTTCAGAAATGCATGGGATTTGGGTCAAGCTTAGAAACATACGGAAACAACTCTAAGTCCCAGGGAAATTAGATGCATGCTTGTAAACAGAAATTTAGAAAATGATAAGAACTGCCAAGAAAAATAAATTGTAAGAATACAGTCCAATCTCAATTATTTTGCTGAGATACATGGGCGAAAAAACTAATCACATGGGGATTTCAGGATGATATCAAATTGTACGCTTCTAATATAAATCTTTTCAGTGAACGAGTAAACAACGTAGATGTCATTCAAAAATATCCAAAATGAAATTATTAAAAAGAAAATCAATATAATACAACCATTCTGACAGGTAAACATGCAAAAATAAGTGTTCTCAGTTAGACGCTATCAAGCACCTGTAGCTCATAACTATAAGCTACTTCTCAATTATGACATTGATAAATTTATTCCTATCAAGCTATGAGACTCAGTAGACTGCATCTTTGCAAGAATCAAAGAATTGCACACTTACTAAGTTTTAGGAACAGGACAGAGATGAATTGCAAAAGCTGCTCATTTGGAGTGGCAACTTGAGCAGTAAACAAGTGATCAAAGACTCCACAAATAGATTTTACTGCTGTTTGTTCAATAAAGATAGCCTTATCATCTTCGACCTGATCTTGGATTGCTTATATAACTTTTGCATCATTATTAATGTTGATCAACTCTTGCAAAATATTTGAAGCTTGCTAATTCCAGAACAACAAATCACAAACGCACCATTATTAATAGAAAAATAAAAAAGACAGACTTGACAGATTTGCACCAAAATTAATGAAAGTTTAAAGTTAAAAATATTAGTTATTTTAGGTTCCTTGATTTAAAGGCTAGTTTTCAAAGTGTTGCATTAGATCAGAAGCCTACTCAACCTAACATGCTCATTAATCAAGAAGAAAGTCAATTGATAGGAATATCTAAGTAACTTTTCATTGAGACATACATTTAATATTGAATCTGAAAAAAAAAATTTGTTGGCTAATGTACTTGACAAAACATAGAACTTTGGACTATACTGAAGAGACATGATAACAAGTATGTAATTCTCACACTCATTTCTGGATACTTAAAGTAACTTAAACAAGTATGAAAACAAAGTTTCTCAGTCAAACTCAAAATGAAAAGCAGCTCAATTCACCAGTTCTGAAAATAAATGAAGAGAGTGAATTATGTCCTAAACAGAACAACAGACTAATGGCGGCAAAATGTGCAACAAGGCAAAACAGAAGGCTATCGATTGATATATGAATTGATCAGATTCAGAGAGAGATACCTCCAGAGGCTATCACTAAAAAGGCTTTTAGTCATTTGGATAGCTCCTTATGTATTTTTGCATTACAATCTGAAACATATAGTACAACTGCAATCAATACTGTTAGCTTAAAGAAAAGGTTTTGCAAGAAAAAAAGCTTAGCAGTATCAGTTCGAACCTTCAGCAGCTTGCCATGTGAGGAGGATGTAGCAGACAATAACCCTTCATTTTTTTGGCTCATTCCCAACCAATGCACTTTTTGACTCAATTGAAGACAACCTATCTGAATCATTTCCAATCTTTTTACAGATTAAAAAAAGTTCAGCCATCAAAATGGAATACTAAAAACTTAAAGCAGAGAGACAATAAAAATAGATATCAATGACTGGTGTTAAAAAAAAAGGGAGGGGGGGTGTTCTCTTATTGTCGAAAGTTAGGCCAATGCTAATCATTTCCAAACATATCAATGTTTTTGACAAAAAACAAAAAAACAAACAGCAAACCAATCTTTTGTATATCAAAGAGCTGTAATTGTTTGATTATCAATAGACATAACATGAAGAAATTATGAAACCTTTTTTTTTTGCATCGAAGTCTTTGTTAGTTACATCTGTAATGTCCTTTTAGCTGAGCTTCTGTCTATAGAGTGATAATCTGGCACATTAACAGGGTTGTGCAGCTTGCATGACCTATATAAGAGGATAAATGAAGCTTAATAAGTAATTGTTACAGAATCTATAGAGTGATTATGAACCTGCCATGCACGGGAGGATCACTAAGAACATGAAAGGAAGCATGCAAAACCTACCTCCACTACACTGCCTTCGATATTAAATCCACATTAAAAATAGAGTTCAAAAAATGTTTACAACATGTAGTATACTTGTGCAAAATCACTAAAATTGATGTTAAACCCATACCCAAATATTTTAATGCAAAACAGGAAATCTTTTATGACTTCCGGCAAGGGTGATTTACCATATATATAGATTGGAAGCGAAACAAGGTAAAAGATACTTAAAACCATGAAACTTTCCTTAAATTTCTGTAAAATTATTGTGTTTTTATCAAATTTAATGCATTACATGGTTAAAAGAAATTACCTAAGCAACGCAAGAAAACAACCCAAAAATAATGAAATTGAAGTTCACCTCAGGAAATTTCCCTTCCTATCCAAAAATGGTACAAGAAAGACAGTAGCAGCTGCATGGACCTAGCCAATGAAGAAACCCAAAATTATTTAAGTAAAATGATAAAGCTGAACGAAGAAACAAAGAAAGGCCAAAATTTTGTTTAAGTAGAAGGGAGCACTTACTTGAGCTTCAGCGGCAACCTTTTACTTGAAAATCGAGAGTGCTGCAAATCCTTCAATCAGTAATTGAATAAGAAATAGATATTTTTGTATCAAGATAAAAACGGAAAAGTAAATAGCCAAATTTGATTCGAAAAGCTAAAAATTAACATCAACGTCGGAAATGATACTTACGAAAAAAAAGTCACCACTGGAGCGCATAGCAATCTTCCAACATAATTGAAGTTTTCACAATCTTAAATAGCGCTTATGTTAAACAAGACAAAAACCTGTGTTAAAACAAATACTAACGGGTATCTCCTGGAGGACAAATGCTCAATTTTGACAAAAGTAAATAAAAAAGAAGGAGAAAAAAAATCAACGGTAGCCAAACATAACGTGTACAAATTAGAGCAAAATTCAAATTTTTATTTGTTCCTTTGCATTTCATATCAAGTTTATCAACTCAACAGCCAATAATTATCTTAAAAAAAAAAAACTCATCCATCTCAAATTCTAAAGAGAACTGTTACCATTTTTACTTGTTGCTTTCTCACTAAATACCATTGAAGTACAAAAAACCCTAACGCCCATTAAAGCTTCAATACAAAAGTGTGCAAAACAAATAAGATACTCAAAAGGGAAGAAATAAAAAAAGGATGGAGAAAGGAAAAAGGAAAGCTAACCAGCTTGAGCTGGGGGGAGCGGCTTCGAAGGAAGCTTAGCCGTCGGCTTGGATTGCTGCTGCTGAGCTGCTGCAGGAGCTGGGTTTTCTTAGCTACGGCCACAGGAACCTTCTGAGCAGCAATCAGCTATGATGGGTCTTCAGTGTCATCATCTCCCAGTAAATCAAATGGGTTTAAAGTCACCATTTTCAACTATCAAAACCAACCCTCAAAAACCCCTCAGACTTCCTTCAACGGTATATCCATTGTGTATCAAAATATTTTATCAATCCATAGTATCGAACGAAGAAGAGAGACCAGAGAAACAGAGAGAGAGCAGGGTTTGATGAACAAAGAGGTAAGGGAGAAAAATGGAACGGTTTGAAAGAAAGGGAAAATAAAAGGAAGAAGATAGAGATGGAGGCTAATAAGGAGGCGAGGAATTATCTCTAGAGGGCTGGAAACTTCTTTTTGGGCTAAAAGGACGATCCTAATCTGGAGATGGTTGTCTACACACCAAACAGAAGGCATCTTTTGGGTTATCATTGTCAACACAGTTTTTGTGATGGTCACCTCATTACCAAAACATCCTTTTCAAGGCAGACGAAAAAAAGTGTAGCTCAAGCAGATGGGCAAAACTGTAATCTGGATCAATGGACATGCAAAGGGCTGTAGTACAGCGAGCATGACAGGCCGCTTGATGGTTGGTTGAAATCACAAAAATGCCACCGAGAAGAGCAGATGAAAAAAATGAACAGTAACCTTCAAACGTCTTCTTATATATTATACTAGGTAAGCTATCCCGCCCAATGCGCGGGCGCCAGGTTGGTGTATTTAAAAATTGGTGGATTATTTGATGTGTTAGTATGTTTTTGGGATTTTTTCAGAAACTTTGTTTATAGGATATGGTTCTTTTAGCATTATCCTAATTTTTCTTTTTTTTGAGTTTTTTGTGCATAATTCAGTATTTTTTATGTGTTTTTTTTATTTTGAATTTTGTTCAATGTTCGGATAGTATTTGTATTTTTTATATTATATGATATGATGGTGGGATTTGTTTTTTGGTATTTATATGTGTATAGTTAGTGGTTCTTTGTATATATATCGTTTTTCTTTCTATACACATAAGAAGCACGTGCGGGATGTACTGTTGAGGAAATATGCGGTTGCATAGTTTTGGCAATGCAAAGCATTATGCTCTGGTAAAGAGTAGATATATTCAAAGGGTGAAAATTCATTAATAACCTTGACGGGATGTGATTATTCCGAGAGTTAGTTGGTATATAAATGAGGGCTAGTTAGTTTAAGTTCATTTGGTGAGTGAGTATTTATCAGTCTTCGTTGATTTGCAGGTGGATATATGGCACATAATGATCGAGTGTTTTCAACAGTCCAAGATCTATGTCCGGAGCTGGAGGAGGAGCTCAGTAGGTTGAGTATTGGTTCTGCTAGTGCTTATCCTATGCCAAATTCTTGTCGAAATCGTCCTGCTGAATCTGTAGCTCAATCTCAAGTTACTTATTTGATGCTGAAGAACGAGATTTGTGATTTGTTTAGGGTTTTATATAGGGAGCGAGAGTGGGGACTTGTGCTGGACAGCGGATTGGTTGCTGGGAGGAGGTTGCCAATGTTAGAACTTATAGCTTCGAGAATCAAGTTCGATGTAGCCGAGGAACTGTTGTTCGATGTAGCGATGTGTTATGTAATTTCGCTTGGTTTGGCTTTATTTTTAGTGTACTTGAATAATGCAGTAGTGCTTTGTTTTTATGTATTATTAAATTGAGTAATAAAATAGTGTGAATTTTTGTGAATAAGTGCGAATGAATTGTTTCTTTATTATTAATTGTTTCTTTATTTTTTGCGTTTCCTTTTTTTAGTTTGTGCATGTACGTCTGTGCAAGTTCTGTATATAATATGGATAAGGTTTGTTTTTGCGCGACGCGTGTGTAGTGTGCAGTGAATTCGTTTGTTTTTTCTTTGTGGAATCTTTGTGATCCTGTGTGCATGTGATTTTGCGCAGAAGCTTTGGAGCTTTGCGGTATTATATAGTTGATATTGTGCTTTATTGTCTATAAGTAGAGTGTGTAGATTTTTTTTCTTATGGTTGAGCATTATCGTTTAGAAATGGATTATAGTCATAATCGTTTTGGGGTGTTACGTGATTTGCATCCACATGTTGAAGTTTTGTTTAATAGATTGTCATTAGCTGGTGTTGTAGGGAGTTTGGGTGGATGTGATGGACAGAATGCTTCTTTGGCTGGTTCTGATAGAGCTTCAGCGAATCATATTTTACTGCGGAATGAGATATATGGTTTGTTTAAGAAGTTTTATCGTAAATCTAGTAGAGCTGCTGTATTGGATGAAGTTTTGGGAGATATTGGCGAGTTTCCGTTTCTTCAAATAATTGCTCAACGTATGGAGCTTGAGGTTGAAGAGCAGAAGAAAGCTGTTAGAAGTGCTATGGTTTAGTGTGTTTATGTTTTGTTTGTTTTGTATATTTGTTTTGTTGGCTTTAGTTATTATTTTCTGTAGATGTTGGGAATGTTATCTGTTCAAGTATTTTAGTGTGTTTATGTATCTGTTCAAGTATTTGAGTTGAATAAAGAATGTAGATTTTGTACCAGTTTTTATCATGATCATTCCAAGGTTAAGGTTTGTCGGATAAGTAAACTACATGAAACAAAGAGAAAAGGGTAAAGGAGAAACTGAAGGAATTGGGGTAAAATATTCCTGATGCTGACAGAAATCATATGTTCATGTTCTGAAGTTCTTTGTTGGAACTCAGTACTCAAACTAAAAAATATATGTTCAAATTAATAAACAGTTGTTGTTTCCTGCAGTCAAATGGTTTTATGAATAAACTTACGGCACGAAAAAACAGTAGGAGAAAAATATACAAGACATACTTAGGAATTTAAATGGGAGAGATGAGAAAAAAAAAATAATAGCCTGCACAGAAGGGGATTTTGTGAAGCTATGGCATGTAGCCTGGATAGAAGTACATTTTATAAACATAGCATGGATGTAATTTACAGAGTTGCTCTTCAAAAAGCATAGCCTACAGTTTTTTGTAATATACAAAATATTCAAAAGCGTAGGCAAGCTGAGCGAATGATCTGGTTCAGATCTTTAGCTATCTAGCTGCATCAGCGTTATATACAATATTGGACATTGCTAATGATCAGATGTTCAAAAGGTGTATCAAAAGTTTAAGTAAGGATATTACATTCTACTGCTCCATATCAGTCACGTCAGTGCGTTGTCTCTTAGTTGGACTTTCTGTAATTTTGAGAGCTGTGAATAATTCACTGTCAAAAGTTGAGTGTTTTGGGACAGCTTCTGCAGTTGATGGTCCTGGAGTCGAGGAAGCGCATGTGGAGGAAGTAGCAATCGATGCTGGGGTTGTAGGAATCTTTGATATGATTTCTGCAGCATTTGCTTTGTGCACTATTATGGCTGTGTATTTTTCTGTGTCCCCGGATCCACGGTTTCCCATCATTTTTTTCACAAAGCAAGTGAGAATGGTGTTTTCAATAGCTTGTTCAATAGCAATGTAGTTGAGCTGGTGCTGTAATATTGATATTTGAGTATTAGTTGATACAATGTGTTGCAGTTCTTATATAACTGGTGGTTAATAAATTTTAGTGCTGGCGATATACTAACCTTGTCTTCAAGTTCTTGAATTTCAAGTAGAGTGAAGGGCAATAGTTGCTCTGCATCATTGTCATATAGATCAAGTGTGAGCATTCCAGAGTAGTCAGCCAGCTCTATGGTTAATCTGCATCTGCAATTGGGATTAGATATTAGTGCAGTGATGAGTAGTGGAATAATTTATGATATTGTTGTTTTGTTAGTTACCTTGGAACGACATTCACTTGCTTATTGCAGGAAGTGCAGACAATTTTCCAGAGTGGTTTTGCTCTGAATGATTTGTGACAGTTTGAGCATGCATTATACCATAAGTGCTGGCTTCTGTCGAGAAATCGTGGAGTTCCTTGAATCCAGTAAGCTTTTTTCTGAGAACAAAATACATTATCAGCTGCTTGATTCTGTGGCAGATATAAGCAGTAGAGAAGTATGAACGTTAGAGTTGTAGAATCTTACCGTTGGGAATTTTAGGAAGTCTGTGATTGTGCAGAGCTCATCTTCTGAGGGTTGTGGTAGGAGTTTTGCTCGATCACAGTATGCCTTTTGTGCAATGAGCTCAGTAATTTGTGACTTGTTTTCCACAGCCCTTATAAGCAGATGGTGATGATTAGCTATTAAACTATTTTAAAGATATTTGTATGACAATAGTTGGTGGGTTTGTATGAGAGCAAGTGGTTACCATTGTTTCAGTGAGGCACCTTGTTGTATAGGAGGGTTCACCAAAATACTTGAGCCAAACTTTGTTGATAGATTCAGAGCTGGAGCATTATGTGTATTAAAAGATGATGGATTGTATAAAAGATTTAGTTCTAATATTTTGAGATTTACTTACTGTGATAGGATGAGACCTTCACTCGAAGTGCGACAATGAGTGGCATTGATTGAATGATATTTGCAATAGTCTGCCCTTCATCTGTTTCATGCTCACCCCACAAAGTTAGGATGACTGGCATGAAGCTGCAATATAGTTGGTTAGATATTTATGTCGCATTATTGTATATGGATTAAAATGAAGATTGTGTTCTGTGCAAAGCCATTGGTTGATAAATCATGCAAGTTACCTGTTATCTATGATGACAATTTCTCTGGTTGGGGTAGGGCCTCTGTGATTTCGTGGATGAACTTGTGCAACAATGCCAAGGGTATCTGTTTTTGTCATTTATTAGAGGTAAACTAAATAGTCATGTATTGAGTATTATAAAGCTGAATTTAACTCCTGTGCATTACCTATGTCTGAAGTGTCATCAATATGTTGATAGAATCTTCTGAAAGGTGTGAATGTGAAAACAGAGGGAATTTCTGGAGGGCTTGCTTCATCGATTGCTTGGACAATGGTAGAGTTGTCAATATACCAGGTGCATTGATTTTCATGTGCACGGTATTCCAGCGGAGTGTATTCAACTCTTGCATTGGATATCATGTAACGTTTGTACAAGTTGAAGTGGTTGCGGAAGAATTCTATATCTGACTTGTATATCATAGCTTCCACTGTAATTCCCTATACATGAAATTTGGTTTTGATTAGAATGCGAAAGTGTACAGTGAGATATAATAATTCTGTGACAGAATTTATTCATGTGTTTACCTGGTTATCAATCAGAGTAAGCTTCTGATAACGATTTCCTGCTTTTGATAGTAGAGGTTTCTGCTTGTCAAGGACTTGGGCTATCGTTGTCCAGTATTGAAGTCCGGGAACGATTTCAGCAAAACCTATCACTTTTCTGTCATCCTGCAATTCAGAAGAGCAAGTAATGGGTAGTTTCTGAGCAGAAATATGAGAACAGAATTCTTAATGTATGCTATAGAACCATATGCGCATGAATAGATAAGAAAGTTATTCATTTGCCAAATCTAATACTTCTCTATATACTACATTATGTGTTATTGAGTCTTCTCCAGTGCTAAATATAGCTGGTTTGATCAGAATTTTTATTGAACTCTTGTTCTTAGCTCTTGACATTGCTACATATAACTGGCCGTGTGAAAAAACTGGTTCACGTAAATATATTCCCACAAAATCTAGAGTCTGCCCTTGAGCTTTATTGATAGTCATAGCGAAGCATGGTCGAATAGGAAATTGTATTCTTTCAAAAGATACTGGCGACTCTGGATCATTTTCTATTCTGAAGCAGATTCTGTGAAGGAAGACTTCCTTGCCAGTGAATTCTCCACAACTTATTGTAGCATATATGACATTGGACTTTAAGGATTTGCAGATGAGCCTTGTTCCATTGCATAGTCCTTGGGGCGGATCAATATTTCTGAGGAGCATAATTGGAGTGTTTGGCTTGAGAATCAATTTGTGAGGTGGAAATCCATTTGGTGTTAGGGCATTTATGAAGTCCTCCATGATTGTTTGGTCAGAATCTTCAATACATTTGTCTCGGCTAATGTATTCTTGAATGCAACCAGGCATATCGTGTATGAGCTGCTGATTAATCTGATCAACAAACTCATTTTTTGTTGTGAGTATAGCACGATTTACAGCTGAGAAATCATGATGAGAGAATATTGACAAATCTGGGAATACCGTGGTAGTCAACTGTTTGATTGAATCTTCATCATTTGTATATCTTATCAGCATTGATGGAGGTATTTGTATGCAGTCGTTGTTGACAGTAGGCTCTGTTCCATTTCCAACACGAAGCAAATATTCAATGAATTCTGGATCATCCCTTGCTCTCATGTTTTCTGTAAGTTGAAGCTTATGAAGGTGTGGCCATATATATGAGTTGACTATGCTGGCATCAATGAATTCTGATTTTGTTCCTTTAGGAACAACTGGTAATACCTGTCGAAAATCTCCTCCGAAAACGATCACTTTAGATCCAAATAAGGCGTTTGAGTCCATTAGATCCTGGAGTAATCTATCAACAGCTTCTATTGAACCTTTATTTATCATCGGAGCTTCATCCCAAATTATAAGACTGGCTTTTTGCAGAAGTTCTGCCGACGAACTTTGCTTGCTGATTCTGCAATTCTTATTTTTTGTTGTATCTAATGGTATGTTAAATCTTGAGTGAGCTGTTCTCCCACCGGGCAATATTGAAGCTGCTACTCCGCATGATGCTGTAGCCAGCGCAATGAATCCTTTGGATCTTGCCTCAGCTAATAATGCTCGATAAAGGAAAGTTTTTCCGGTTCCACCTGGACCATCAACAAAAAAGCATCCATGTTTCTTTTGGAAGACTGCATGAGTGATTATATCAAAGGCAGTTTTCTGATCATTGTTTAATAGATCAATTTTTTGCAGATCAGACTCTAGCACAGTGATTCTTGTCTCTGCTATTGTGTCCCTCGTGCTCTTGTTGAGATCATTAAAATTTAAAAGATATGGAACCAGGGCATATGAGTTAATATCTCTTCCCATAGATTCAAGAAAATTGTTTATCTGTTCTAGAACCTTGTATCGTGTTTCATCAGTTGATATATCTGGTATTTTCATGAAATCTTCTGATAGACAATGTTCAAATTTCTCCCATAGCTTTCTAGCATTTAATGGAGAAAAGTGTACCAGCAAAGTTGCAAACAGCCTTCTCAATATGTATGGCATTTGATATGAACTGGCTTCTTCGAGGCATTCTTCTTGCGATGTATCTGATTCAAAGTATCCTCTGAGAATTGCTGCTTCACGGAATGTGTTTACGTATGTTCCATTCACTGTCTTGAGGTCTTCAAATGATTTGGGGCCTTTCACATGTGTTAGAAGTAGTCGAAGAAAATAACGTTCTCCTTCTTTTATACCTGCTGTGACAATTCTGCCAATACAGTCCTTTTGCTTTCTAGGTTCCCATTTTTTTCTTCCGGGGTACCAAACGAAGTGCTCTGGGAATTCTTTGTATGTGCACTTAAGATCCTGAGCTAACTCATCCACAGAATTCATGTAAAAGAATTCAGTTAACATAGTTCTTTTTGTATACTTGTTGCTGATTACATCTCGTAGGTCTTGATCAGGTGTGAAACTCATGGACTGACAGTTTTGTAGATGGAGCTGGAGATGAATTACAGAAGGGTGGATCTCACTGAGGTTAAATCTGTACACTCTCCAAATTGCTTCAACTGCACACACCCATCGAGCTGATTGGAAGTCCTTTATTTCATCGATTGGAAGAGGTTGGGAGCTATTATTGTCTTGAGCAGGAGCATCTGAGTTTACTCTAAAATGAATCCTATCATGACCCTTGTATATATATATTTGTATATATATTTGACAGCTTTCACAGTGGAACAGATTTCAACATTTATGTGGCAATCAAATTTTGCCAATAAGTATCTGTTGTGTGGAACTATCCATCTGTTATCAAGCTGATGGCCACGAACAATTATTTTCTGTCCATCATTTCTCCTTCGATAAGTAGGATACGCATTCTTTCCATGAAAGGTTGTCTGAGCAAATGATTTTGGGTAATTATTTCTGCATCTTTTCTTCTGATTTCCTTGCATACAAACATTATCTGGATTTTGTGCTCCGCAAGGACCGTGGATCATGTGCTTTCGAACCATTCTGAATAAATGTTGATTTGCTGTTATATCTGGAATTTCTGCACTGACGATTTTATCATAGGATTCTGTGGAATAAAGTTTTGAACCTGGCTCTAAAATTATGAGGAAATGAGTATGCGGTAGACCACGTTTCTGAAACTCAACAACATAGGTATAAGCTGCTACTGCTCCAAATATTTGTTTCTTGAAGAGTTGGTCCTTCAAAAGATCAAGCTTAGCATGGAAAACTCGAGCGAGTAAGTCTGGTCTGTTATGACCTTCATCAGTAGGTAGCATGTGTTTTTTCATCTCAGGCCATGAAGGATTGCATGTCATAGTGATAAATAAATCTGGTTTGCCGAATTTTTGCACGAGAGCCATAGCATCAACATATCTTCTTCTCATGTCGCGAGGACCACCTATGAATGATGCTGGAAGAATAACTCGCTGACCTATTTTGGATCCTTGGCAATGTCCTGACATGACACTGTCCATTATGCCTTGAAGTTCCTCTCTTCTTATTAACTGTTGTCGGCTTCTGTAATAATCAAGTCTCTGAGATTCTATCTTGATGTACATATCGATGACATATTGTTGAAGTAGTCGGCCGGTATTGAGTATGCCTGGAGTGTATTTTTCCCGCATCTGCAACTTGTATGCGTAATACTCACGCATAGATACAAACTCTTTATTGTTTTCAGGATTGTGAGAAGCTGTAGAACATGTTATTCAATATCAATCTAATGATATAGTAACTGTATACTGAGGAATATAATTATTGACTATAATTTTTGCTATACCTTGGTGTTCAGCTGCTATTAGTTCTTCTGCAGATTTGCAATCAGTAGAAGCAGGAGTGCAGTTGGCTGTTCTATTGTATCTTTTCCTTTTGTTTGGATTATGTGGTGGTGTTCTTTTTATACCAGGATGCCATCCTGTCTCTCCAAATGGAAACAGCAGCGGATACTGCAATGGATCATAGCATCCATAATAGTAGTGCACCAGATGATCCTTGCCTTCTTTAGTATAGATTTGGATATGCCTTTTGTATCCTTCTCCAGATTCTTGGCCCTCTACCCACAAGGCTGCAATTTGAGATGCAGTTGGTTGATTCCAAACTCTCTGGTCATTTTCTGAATGAGACTTTAAGACGATTTGATATGAGTCGAGATTCGGAACATTTTTTAAGCTTCGGAGAAAAGAGGCATATGGATTCAATTCCATGACATGCATAATTTTTTTCACTGCACTTTCTGTTAGGTTCTCTGATGTAGCCAGTCTGTTTTCTAACTCATGCTCTGTATCATGAAAATATAGCTGCAAATAAACAGTCCTGCACTCATGTGGAATAAGATCCTTGATGAAGTGATAGGTTTGTCCCTGGACTTTGAATGTGTAGATACCATTAGTTCTCCTGCATAGGGATCTGTCATAATGTACTCCGAAAGAGGTGAAGGCAAACATATTATTATATGTTCTGACATATGTTCTGAAAGAAAGAGCTTCAGCAGAATGACCAGTATATAGTTCTATGAGAATATCTTGAAGTTTGTTCTCTTGGAGAACTATCTGACCAGCAGAACAGCAGAAATTTGGTGTTTCAGAATAAAGTTTTTTTGCTTCGCAATAGCTGCAATCTGGTTTGGGAGCCAGTATGTCTGGTTCACTGCTGATGCATTTCAGTGCTTCAATTCCATCTGGAACTTTTTCACCTACAGTACAATGAATGTGATAGTAATTGTTGAATACAAAAAAAAGAATGACAAAAAAGTTTTGAATGTATATCATGTTACATTCATAAGAGTTTTTGTTTTTGTACCTCTGGTGTGAGATTTCTGAGTTTTTCTTGACCTTGAACGTTTGTTGCCTGTGTGGATATTAACAGAACGTAATTAACTCTAATATACAGAGGTTTAATCTAATGCTCATTAGATAATGAAAATTAATAACTGAGGTTGTATCTGTACCTTTATGTGTTTTAGCAATAGATTTTAAGCATTGTTGGCTCATTTGATATTCTGTTGCAAATGCTAACAATTCTAGAAAGCCAAAGTTGTGCAATCAATGGTATTATAAAGAAAAGAAATGTATGTAGAAGTTGAATACGGATCAGTAGAATCTTGTAGATCTAAAGTTGTAGCAGTGCTGAGTACCTGGAGCATCTTCTATGTTTTGGGGAAGAAATTTGAAGCAGTTCATACACATGAAAGATTCAGCTGTTGACGCAATGTAAATAAATGATAGTGGAAGAGTGAGATGAACATGGTAAAGCATCATATATTGAACAGTATATTTTTGTGCTGAAAGTAATTTGAAAGAATTAAACAACAAGTTATTTGCAGTAGTTTCAGACCTTTGTCATGCGGTGGAGCACTATCTGAGCATATATGCTTATGGTTGGTGGCTGAAGAATTACCTAGGTTTTAGAAAATTGAGAAAAGCACAGTTATGTAGCTGAAATAAGAATTGTTATAGAACCAATTATATTTACATGAAAATGATAGAAATGAATACCTTCTTCATAAGTAGAAAAGCAGAAGAGACTACTTTTGAGCTTTGATCCAGGGTAGGATACACAGAATCGATTATCTGTGGCATAGAAAAAAGTAAATGGATGATCATATTAAAAAATAAGAAATATATTATTATAATAATTTTGGGTATCAAGAACAATTTGTAAATGCAAATAACAATTTGTATGTGTATCATGTGGAAGAGAAACAGGATATTTTCAAGCTTAAGTGTGGAGAAACCAGTATGATGCATTTGTAAAGCTAAGAGTAAGGAAAAAAATAGAAAATATGGAAAACATTGTTACTGTGATATTGATGCAGAGGGGTATTTTGTTGAAGTTTACCAGTGTTAGTCTGATTCTTGGAGCCAGGTAATTGAAGGTTAGAAGAAAGAGCTCCAATGGCATTTCTATCAGATGTTCGAGCAAGCGTACTTTTATTATATTTTCCAACTGCAATTTTTGATGCTTTAAACGTCAATATAAGTATAACAACAGAAATGGAATGTTTAGGAGATAAAAAATGAATAGGAATGCAATAATATGAGAAAAATAGGTGGCTAAAGCTCAAAATACATACCTGTGTCATGAAGATGCTGTTGAATTAACTGTGGCATCAGCACTCCTGTGTATAGTAATAAATATTTCCATGGTTTCATATTTTTAGTCACAAAAACTACAAACTAAAAATGTTTGTAAGCTTTGTCCTGGAGTATATACGTACCATTATTATCATTGTTGGTACTGGATGGTCTGAGAAATGGTTTGATGTTGCACTGTTTGGTAGGTTGTACAGATTGTGGATCAAGCGTCTTGGACAACAGTTTGCTCATCTTTCTTCTGTGATACGCTTCTCTATTTTTTCTTCGATGAGCTTCCTTTTGTTCGACAGAAAGACCAGCAAATTTTTCTCTGTTTTTTTTATTCCTCTCATTTTTTTTCTCACGAATTTTGAGATCATCGTTTTGTGCATATAACTCAGAGGAATTCATGATGCTTGTTAGTTAATGCAACTGATTTTTATTGTCCATATAAGCATGCAGGGAAGAGAGCACAGTTCGTTGGATGAAATAAGTAAACCATACCAGAGCAGAAACTACAAAAGTGGTTACAAAATACTTTGAATAAACTGAATAAACTTAAGAGTATGTTAAAGGAGCTAGTGAAGGAATACCTCCATCGGTAGTCAAGGCACAGAGTTCTGAAGCAGACCTGTCGCAAGCTAAAAAAAAAATCTGAAGTCACTAAACACAGATCTTTTTATCTATCAATAAGGAAATGAGTAGAACAAAACATCAGAATGATATCAGAAGATAGTAAAAAAAAATTTGTGAAACAACTAACATTGCAGTACCTGGTGTTTGAGGTATTTAGTTGAAGAGAATTGGTAAGGAGATTCTCATACAATCTGGAAAGCAGAGCATATAAAAGACGTTGCATGAAGACCATGTGTATATTTGGTACAGAAGAAAATGCAGTGGTCGACAGCTAAGTAAAGATTAGCATCAGGTCATAATAAAAAGTCCCTTCTGTCCTTTTTCAGATTCATAGCATAGATATTAAGCAGCTAGATATCAGGGTTTGCATCGTAAAATTGAAAAAGTATTTGAGTTCAAATCATGCATATCTATTTCTGTGAGATCACAATTATCTATGTATTTGCATAAGTTGTACTTCTTCATGCACACGTGTTTGTACATTTTTAACATATATAAAAGTGGGACTTATCTACAATCACATTTATCTATGTACTTATATTTGATTTATATGCATCTACTATATACTTATTATATTGATTAAAGATTATTATTCATATACTTATATTATATATATATTGATTATTATTCACATACACAAATATATAAACGTATACATAAATTCAATCTAAAATAATAATAATTACTTTTAAGAGTGTTTTTGAAAAAAATTATAAGAATGTTTTTACAAAGTATTGAAAATAAAATAGTTTGTAGAATATGTTTACAAATATTTTTTTAAAACTTAAAAAAATGGAAACTAATTTTTAGATAATTGCAATGTATAATTGTAATTATCCATGTACTTATTGTATTGATATACAGATAAAAATATATATGAATCCCATTTGAATCAGTTATTTTTGGCAGTGTTTTCAAAAATTTTTAATAGAATATTTTTAAGAAGTATTCAGACATAAATATGTTTACAAATATTTTTTTAAAATTAAAAAAATATCAAACGAATTTTTAGATAATTGTGATCTATAATTGTAATTATCCATGTACTTATTAATATATACAAATCTATATAAAAAGATATATGAATCCCATTTAAATAAGTTATTTTTGACAGTGTTTTCAAAAATTTGTGATAGAATATATTTTTAAGAAGTATTCAGACATATGAAAATGAAACTTATTTCGCGCGTGATGAATGCCCATTTCAATAAATGTACAAGAGTTTTGAAGCAAAGACACAAAGTGCTTCTTGAAAGCGTCAGAACAAAAAACAATCCAAATTCGTCCGTGCTGATTGCCCAGTTCAATGAATGTACAAGAGTTTGAAGCAAAGAGCAGCAGCCGAAAGTACAAGCCGCGGAAGCAGAGTTGCGGTTGAAAAAAGCACCACTGTAGAAAGACAAAGTGCTTCTTATGTATATGTAAGGATATATATAGTATATATATATTATATATATATATATATAATTATATATCTAAGGAAATAGGATACAATTTCAGAAAGGAAAAGTCAAACATAGTACTACTTGTCTCCTTTAGGGGAAGTAAAATCCAAGTATCTCCTCCAACAGCAGCATGGTCTCTGTTTGCCCTGTTTTATACCTACTTGTCTAGTACATATAAAACAACACGTACTAAAAAAACTACTAAAAGACAAAGTGGAAAACAGGATTTTAGCTTATTAGGAGGCCAGAAAATGATCGCCGCCGGAGATGTTACACGGCATACATCAGAGAATAGCACTGCAGTAGTCCCGTTAAACCCTGTTTCAGATATATATCTCCATATTAACAAACATTATAGGCCCCAAAATAAAGCGAAAGATTCCAGAAAGAAAGAGAAAATTCACGCACCAGTCACGCAGAGAACGATTGGCAAGGATTATTATGGTGAATCCAATGAAGAAGAGGGCGACAGACATCTGCTTGAGTGGGGGATCGAGGGTCATCCGGATGGCCAAGAGAAGCGCAACAGCACAGAAGAAAACTGCAACGTGCTCCATGACATGAGATGCTCTGGGGTAATGCCTACGTATGTAAATAGACACCAACAAAGCTAAGAAGGCCATCTCGAAAGCCACGCAGAGCCAGGGAAAGGATGAAGCAGCAGGGAGAGTTGCACGAATTTGGAGAGCTAGCAAGACGACACTAATGGCTGCAAAACATGCTCCAACGACCAGCAAAGCCCATTGTATGTTCTGCTGCTGCTGCTGCTGCTGTTTGATTGTAGGCAGGGGCTCCTGCTGCTGCTCCTCTGTTTCGGAGGATACTGTGCCAGGCAGCTCGAGTCGGTGGGTGGGTAACTCTGAAGGAATCGACCTGTCCTTCCTCCATAGCGGGAACCGATTGGCAAGCTCAATCAAGGTGAAGAAGAAGCAGACGGCTGCAAGCTTGAATTTTCCCCACATTTCTGTTTCCTTTACTTTGGTGCTCTATAATTTTTTTTTTCCTGTAAGTGCATTGGAGAGCGCTTGACTATTTGTAGTTGTAGGAACATCCGGTGGTAAGAATATCCAAGCCAAACCATACCGTTTAGACAACTGGACCCCAGTATTTAGACACCTGTACGGTTATGATCGGTTCGTTTCATCCAACATATCTCTTCCTATGCGCCGCTGCCAAAAAGTTGGCAATCCACGTGCATTTTTTTTTCCCAACATCATTACTCCAATATCTAAACCTTGCTTGAAATTCGAAGAGGAAATGAAGGAAGTAGCTTTTGCCTCTAAAACAATCTGCTGGGCTTGAAGCTCCTCCTTTAAAACAATTAGTACGTCAGGTAGCTTACGTTTGTAATTAAGCGCATTTTTCTTCTTTTCTTTTTTGTTTTTAAAGGGACCACAATAAATTTATATTTATAAAATTATAGTGTACATTAAAAATTGCTTTTTTTTGTTCAACTACCTACTATCATATTTACTTCTACCTCTATTTTATACTCAGTCATTGCCCTTTAATAATTTATTGGTATATTTTGGTTGGATAAATATCAATTTTCTATACATTTTATAACATAACAAAAATATTAATATCAAATCTTATACATTGTAATTTTAATGATTATTTTTCAACGATTTCAGAACTGCATCTAATTGCAAATTGAATGAGATTTTTGTGTTTAAAAAACCTTTTTTTAGTTTAACATAAGATAAGAGTAATTATTGACTTAACAAATCTATTTTCATCTTTTTATTCTTCGGTTGGTTCTGTTTTATTCTTCCTCTGCTAGACATCTCCATCTCCATTGTGCTTGCTTTTGTTGTTGCTTCAAAAGGTATTTATTCTCTTTTTTTTTTTTTTTTATTCTTCTTCTTATTCTCCAGTTATGTGTTATCATGGTTGTCAAAGTTTCAGGAAAACTTGCATCTGGTTTCTTTTCTTAAATTCACATTGAAGTTTATATGTTTTACTTCTTTCTGTTGACAGGATCATAGTTGTTTTTTTTGCTACTTTGACTGGGTGGTTAGTTCTTTTTTTAGCCCCTTTTTAAGCGCGTTTTCCTACTGATACTACTGTTTGATTTCTTAACATTGAAGTTTGTATGTTTTACTTCTTTCTGTTGACCGGTTCATAGTTATTTTTTTTGCAACTTTGATTGGGTGGTTTAGTTCTTTTTTGGCCCTTTTTTAAGCGCATTTTCCTATTTATACTGTTTGATTTCTTCCTGCTGTATACATAATGCAATTACTTGTTCCCTTTTTTTTCCTACAGGTTTCGCTTTTGGTTTGTTGAAATTCCAGGTACTTTTGCTCTTCCAAATTCAGGATATCAATCAATGTAGGACTATATTCTTCACTACAAAAACTGAAAAAGCCACGTCCAATTACTAAATCCTAGCAAAGCTTCTGTGTTTTTGGTGTATAAAGCCACCGGCAGCTAGCAATAGTGGCTGATGTTGTCTTGTGCGCAATTCTAGTGGTTGGCCGTATGCAACGTCCCCAATACTTCGTAAGAATATCATTTTTGACAAGTGATGCCCAGTACTTGGACCTCATTACGTTCCAACATTGATACACCAACACAGATCAAAAGCTCTTTAAGGAGTAAACTCCGAAAGGAAAGAAGAATATTCCTTCTTTCCACTTATTTTTCTTTTTTCTATCAAATCCCATCTCCCAAGCTAACCCATGAAAGGTACCTCGCTCAGTGGCCGGTGTTCTCAAAGTTTTTAGTGCTGTTGAAGAAAAAGCGCGAGTACGATGTTGAAATGAAAGTGACCTTCTTAAGTGTTATGTGGCCTTGAGATCAAAGTGTCAAGTGAGATCATAAAAAGCAGTCTTGATGCAAGTGAGATCATAAACTATGATGCAAGTGAGATCAAAGTGTTAAGTGGTCTTGGGAGATGAGCCCCTCTTTCACCTTCAGGCTTCAACTTCAACTGCTGTTGTGGGCTGGGCTTTTGAAGGTATCAACTTGACATTTGGCACCTCCAAATTGTATGGCCTTTCCACGAATCATATTGACATTTTGGAACGCGTTTTAGACTCAGATACAGCAAGCGTCTACATTCCGCAGCAGCTGATGTAGAATCAATGGACTTTGGATTATTTTGACACCTGTTGAATGTTGTACCAATACCATGGAATCTCAATCCTTCTGGACGTGCTTCATCCTAAC